TGTAATATAGTAGTATAGTATATAGTGTGTAGTATAGTAGTATAGTGTACGGTATATAATATAGTAATAACATAGTGTCTAGTATAGTAACAGTGTAGTTATAGTATAGTATAGTGTATAGCATAGTGTATAGTATAATACAGTATAGCAATAATGTAATATAGTAATAGTATAGTATACAGTATAATATAGCAGTAATAGTATAGTATAGTGTATAGTACAGTAATAGTATAGTATAGTGTATAGCATAGTGTATAGTGTATATAATACAGTATAGTAATAGTGTAATGTAAGTATAGTGTATACTATAGTGTATAGTATAATAATATATTAATAGTATAGTCTGTTGTATAGTAATAGTATAGCATAATGCAGTGTATAGCATAGTGTATAGTATAGTGTATAATATACTATAGTAATAGTGTAATATAGTAACAGTATTGTGCATAATATACTGTATAATATAGTATAGTGCATAGTATAATATAGTAATAGAATATAGTGTATAGCATAGCAATAGTATATTAATAGTATAGTATAGTGTAGTATATAGTAATGGTATAGTATAGTGTATAGTATACGGTAATGTAGAGTATATAGTATAGTGCATAATGTAGTAATAATAATAATAATATAGTATAGTGTGGCATGGTAATAGTAATAGTTATAGTGTAATAATCTGATAGTTTGAACTATACACAGCGGGAATCAGCCTGCACTGAAAACGCTACTCAAATCTCATGGACAGTCAGTTATGTGCAGAGTTCCACCTCATGCAATAGCTTGTAATCGCGGCTAATTAATCTGCTTTTGTTTAGGAATTTTCTCCACCTAATTGCATCTCACGTTGTTGTTTTGGAGTTGCACAAAGGAAAGGTTAATGGTGGCTGGAAGGAGTAGGCTTTGTGTTTTTAACACAGCCTTGTAACGTTGGAAGTTATTTTAGGCAAGTCAGTCAGGGCGGTAGAAACAAGGTTGGAGACACGGTAGCAGGTTAACCAAGTTCTGCTCAAGTTCCTCGTTCTTCAAATTCTTCTCTAAGGTTCATCACAGTATTGAATAGTTCAATTAAATTGATTGAAATATTTTTAAATCTCCCGGAGAAGTGAGGCGCGTAAAATGTCTATGGTTTGGGTGTGTATTTGAAAGGAGTGAAGGAAGCTCATCCTTCGATACATTTGGTTTAGTGAGGTTATGGTTGTTGTTGTTGTTGTTGTTGTTGTTGTTGTTATTATTATTATTATTATTATTATTATTATTAAATAAAACTACTTCTGTTCTTCATTTCTAAATCAAGGTATTCTTTTAAAATTTCAGCAGCTTGTTAATATCCCGTTCTGAAAATAGCTGTAACTAACTCGGAAAACTGTAAATTTCCCCAATCTCTTTTGCTCAAGTTGAATTCTGTATGGTTTGGGTTTTGTTGTTCGTTTAAAAATGCTTTTTTGTCCCTTTTTTTAAAAAACAAAAAACTTGGAAATTTTGTTGTCAGATGTTCTACAAAGTCCTTGCAGGGTTACTATGTTTCTTAAAATACCGGTACTCCCTCGACTTACAAGATTTCATTTAGTAACCATTCAAAGTTACAACGGCACTGAAAAAAAGTGACTTATGGCCATTACAGTTACGGCATCTCCGTGGTCATATTGTCGGAGCGTGCACAGTCTTATTGCGCTGAAATAACCCGGGAGTAAACACAGTAAACAGTGGTTTGTACTAAATGGTGGTTTATCTTATACTATCTACAGCATCATACACCAGGAACAATATAGATACACGTGCTAATACGGCAGGATCCAACAAACCACAATTACAGCAGGAAAAGGAATCGACAGAACACATCTGCGGAGCCTCCCCTTTTATACAAAGGTTCTTAAAGAGACACAGACCCTCCTGGCTCTTAAAGAGACACAGACCCTGCTGAGTCATTCCCATCATTACATCTTACATTACATCAGCTGGTTAGCTGTTAAATCATTACCTTGACGCATGTGATCAAAATTCAGCCACTTGGCAACCGACTCATACTTATGACGGTTGCAATGTCCCGGGGGGGTGTCACGTGATCCCCTTTTGCGACCTTTTAGCAAGAAAGGTTGCAAAATGGGGCAAAAACTTACCTAACAAATGTCTCATTTAGCGACATAAATTTTGGGCTCAGTTGTGGACTGCCTGTACTTTCTCTGGATTTGACGGCAACGTGTTTCCACAGGAATTGTGTTAAATAAAACATGTTTGCTTCTTCATATATTGTCAAGCAAGAACATCCGATGTTAGCAGCCTTGACAGTAAATACGGTTCCGTGAAAAATATCTATTTTCTAATCGATAATACTTCTAGTCCTGGAGTACCGCCATACAGTTCCTCATTTCAAAATTAAAAAAGAAAAAAAACATCTGCAACTCATTAGCCTATCTATCCAGTGCTTGCTTAAAATTCGGAACGCTTTTCTTTCTTTCTTTCTTTCTTTCTTTCTTTCTTTCTTTCTTTCTTTCTTTCTTTCTTTCTTTCTTTCTTTCTTTCTTTCTTTCTTTCTTTCTTTCTTTCCTTCCTTTCAGCAATTCACTACCTTTTCAGTTAAAACCCAGACAATAATTAAATGGGAATCGTGTTTCATTAAGTTGGTAAAAGGGGCATTTGAAATCCGAAGAGTCAGTAAATGTCACATTGAAAAGAGATTAAACCTCTAGAATGGCACTGATGAGTAATTTGGATTGAGATGAGTGGCTGTAGAAAATGATTGAATGAGTGAATGAAGGAACGAAGGAAGGAAGGAAGCGAAGGAAGGAAGGAGGAAAGGAAGGAAGGAAGGAGGAAAGGAAGGAAGGAAGAAAGAAAGAAAAAAAGGAAGGAAGGAAGAAAGAAAGAAATGCAAAAAAAAATCTAAGAGGTCAGTTTCCAGAAATCAAATTTAAAAAGGTGGGAATAACAAATAACACCCAACATCCAATCTTGTTTTTCTCAGTGACTTTTAGACTGCATCCCCCCCCATTTACATAGGAAAGCAAAACTAAAATTATTAGTAAATTACATTTTCTGCTTTTACACAGGCGCACGAAGGATCGAGAATATGACTGTCTTTTATTCAACTAGGAGATATAATACATGTACATGTGTTTTTTAATGTATCTTTTTTTTAAATCTCGTGTTTTTGTTTTTTTGTTTGTTCCTGTAAAAAGTTTTTTTTTGAGTTTTGTATCATAACTTTTTATGGAATAAAATAAAAATGACATTAAAAAAAAAGAGAATATTGCTGCATCTTATAGCTTTCACCTTTGGTCTCTAAGGAAATTGACTAAGTGCTGACTGGTGGATGATGGATCGTCCACTGTGTAAAAGACTAAGTGGAAGATCCTAAACCTATAAACAAGTATCGAAGGAAAATAAAAGGATGTGTCCTTTATTATGTGGTGCACTGCGAATAAATTTTCTCTTGAAGGAAAAAAAAAAATTTAAATGCGACAAAGTAAAAAAAAGGGAAATTAAAAAGAGGTACCCACGTTCCTTACTTTTGGGCTTTCTAAATTCTGGGGGAAAAACTTCACTTTGCATAAAAAGCTCTTAAAAGAAAATACATGTATACGAATAGTTTTTGTGCTGTTCTGGAACGATTTAAAGTGGTTTTAAAAGTGAAATGCTGATTTTTTTTTAAAAAAAAATAGTGTAATCTGTTCTATAGAATTTTGTTTGGACCATGTCTGGGAAATTGGAGACAAGTGATAGCCAAGGTTATTTCTTCTGAATTCTTAGGTTTTCAGACTTTTGATATCAAATGCCATCTCTCATTGTCTCCAAAGGTATTTTTGAAAAAAGCATTTTTGGGAGAAGCATGGCCTGGGATGACGGAGAATCTCGGTAGACAATCTCTCATTGGTTCAGATTTTTATTTTTGAGTCAGGATCATGCATATATGGAATGTATTCTGGGAACGCAGAAGGCTATTTATAGAAGTCTGCCTTGTGAAAAGTTGGCGACTTTTTAGTTTTATTTGTCTATTGTTCTGAAATGTTTCTTTTCCAAGCCAGGAAGAGGAATTTGAATGCATTCCGCATGCCGTGCATAACTCTTTAGGAAGGATGTGAGGGCACATTCATTCTCTTTAAAAATTAGGATTCAGAATTTTGATGCGGACCAAATGAAGTTTAGGATGAGTCGGGAAAGGATTTGGGCCAGTCACCAGGAGGCTGTGAGTTCTAGTCCTGCCTTAGGCATGAAAGCTGACTGGGTGACTTAGGGCCTACCACTAGGAGACTGTGAGTTCCAGTCCAGCCTTAGGATCTTTACAATTCAAGTCTCACATGAAGATCCTTCTCTGCAAAATCAAATCAATATAGAAATGAATATAGAAACGCCAAGCCATCTCGCTCCGAGAGATCGGATTCACCCGCCTTGTTTGCTCAAAAATTCTTTCCTTAAAAAGAAAAGTTCTCTAGATGTTTGACAGGTTGCATTGTCCAAGGCAGGGGGGTCTTCAAACGTGGCCCGTTTATGACTTGTGGACTTCAATTCCCAGAATTCCTCAGCCAGCCTCCATTTTGTTTGTTAGATTGAAGCCAGGGGTCTTCAAACTTGGCCCTTTTATGACTTGTGGACTTCAATTCCCAGAATTCCTCAGCCAGCCTCCATTTTGTTTGTTAGATTTAAGACGGGTCTTCAAACTTTGCCCTTTGATGACTTGTGGACTTCAATTCCCAGAATTCCTCAGCCAGCCTCCATTTTGTTTGTTAGATTGAAGACAGGGGTCTTCAAACCTGGCCCTTTGATGACTTGTGGACTTCAACTCCCAGAATTCCTCAGCCAGGCACATGTGGCTGGCTGAGGAATTCTTGGACTTCAATTCCCAGAATTCCTCAGCCAGGCACATGTGGCTGGCTGAGGAATTCTGGGCGTTGAAGTCCACAAGTCATCAAAGGGCCAAGTTTGAAGATCCCTCGTCCAAGGGGTAGATTTGACGAACACGGTGACCTTTTTCACCTTTTTCTTTCCCTAGCAAGCCCTGAAGCCTTGGCGAGCCACAGTTTGGGAAACGGGACCAATAAATCTGAAAACGGACTTTCCAAAGATGGCGGACACCTTGAATATATCGCTTATTTCCTGATTCCGGTATTCTTCCTTATGGGGCTGTTAGGGGTTTTAATTTGTCACGTGCTAAAGAAAAAAGGCTATCGATGTACGACCGAAACAGAGGAAGAACAGCTTGGAGAAAAGATAGGTAAGTAAGAGCCTTTATTTATTTATTTTAAAAAAAATTGTTTCAGTATTCATATGGGCACAGAGCAGGGGTCTTTAAACTTGATCCTTTTATGACTTGTGGACTTCCAACTCCCAGAATTCGTCAGCCAGCGTGCCTGGCTGAGGAATTCTGGGAGTTGAAGTCCACAAGTCATAAAAGGGCCAAGTTTGAAGACCCCTGGCATAGAGGAACAGTTTGGGTTTTCCCGAGTTCTAGGTTGCTTCTCTCCTTGATTAGTTTCCATCCGTTGCTTCTTGTCCTGCCTTCAGGTGCTTTGGAGAATAGCTTGACTCCCTCTTCTTTGGGGCAGCCCCTGAGATACTGGAACACTGCTATCATGGCCCCCCTCGCCCTTCTTTTCATTAAATTAGACATACCCAATTCCAGCAACCGTTCTTTACATGCTTTAGCCTCCAGTCCCCTAATTGTCTTAGTTGCCCTTTTCTTTACTCTTTCAAAGAACATAGAATACAGAATAACAGAGCTGGAAGGGATCTTAGAGGTCATCTAGTCCAACCCCCTGCTCAGGCAGGAAACCCTATACCATTTCAGACAAACGGCTGTCCAGTCTCTTCTTAAAAACCTCCAGCGTTGGAGCATCCACAATTTCTGGAGGCAGGTGGTTCCACTGGTTAATTGTTCTCACTGTCAGCAAATTTCTCCTTAGTTCTAGGTTGATTCTCTCCTTGGTTAGTTTCCATCCGTTGCTTCTTGTCCTGCCTTCAGGCGCTTTGGAGAATAGCTTGACTCCCTCTTCTTTGGGGCAACCCCTGAGATATTGAAACACTACTATCATGTCCCCCCTCGTCCTTCTCTTAATTAAACTAGACATACCCAATTCCAGCAACTGTTCCTTGTATGTTTTAGCCTTCAGTCCCCGGATCATCTTTGTTGCTCTTCTCTGCACTCTTTCTAGAGTCTCAGCATCTTTTTTTATATCGCGGTTTCCAAATAGGACAAACAGAAAGAAATTTTCTGCCTTTAATCTTTTAGTTTTGCTTTTTTTCACCCATACCAACTTACGATAACAGTCCCCATGGCCCCCTTCAAGCTGTTTTGAGAGATAATGATTTTAATCTCTGCTTCATATGCTGTTTCGGAAAATGCTGTTGTCACCTAGTTTCGTCGTTGCTTTCTAGGAACCAAGGAACCAAAGTTAAATTTTGGGTTTTTTTTTTAATTTTTAGAATTGAACGAAAGCGTCAATGAGAACAGCGACACCGTGGGACAGATAGTGGATTATATCATGAAAAACGAAGGTAAGGGAGCTAGATTTAGCAATGACTCTATAGATTTATTTGGCGTTTGAGCTATTTTAGGATTTTCCCGAAGGAGCGTAAAGGGATGAAATCCAGCATTTTAATCCGTGACTTACAATTGGCTACTCAGTTTATAGCGGAAGCCAGACGTGAATTTTTAAACATTCACTTCTGCACAGGTGCAAATTGCTTGTAACAAAAAGTACTTTTCAAAAAGTCAAATCTTAATGGTGAGCGGGTCTGTCAAGCATCCCTCGTACACGAGAGGAAGATAGGAAGATATTTATTTTTACAGAGTTCCAGAATTTGTCAGAAGAAAGATGAAACTATGACAAGCATCTTGAAAACCATTTCTGGCTGCAAATAACGACAAGACTGGTCTTCAGTGGTTTTTTTCTCTCAGCATCCTGAAACTGAAAAAAAAAGTCGATTAATTGTTTCAGGTCTCCCTGGCTCATAAAGCAGTTGAATTCAATAGAAGAACATAAAATAACAGAGAATATTTGTAACTCAAGAAGAGTTCTTGATACTCTCTGAACTTGGTGGTTTTCTTGCAGGCGTTTCATGACCTAACTAGGTAACATCATCAGTGCTAGAAGGGAGTGAGGTTTGCTTTCTGCGAGCAAGCCGCTTGTATGTAAGCAGAGATCAAATCCCACTCCCTTCTTGCATTGATGATGTTACCTAGTTGGGTCATGAAATGTCTGCAAGAAAACATCCAAGATCAAAGAGCACCAAGGATACCACAGTCCTCCTCCTCCTCCTCCTCCTCCTCCTCCTCCTCC